GGTGTGTGTGATGGAAATGGGCAAACTGGGATGAACAGGGGATTGGATATGTGATTCAGGATCAACCTCTAAGGGGAATCCAGTCCCAGTTTAATTCATTCAATCTGGGCAATCATTCGTGAACTTCACACTTACCCTCTGCTTCTCGGGGACCCAGGCAACACTGTGGAGAATAGCAAGGTCTTGAAGTTTTGCTGCTAAGGTTGTTTAAAGGTTAATTCCAATTCCTGGAATATTGTTTTTCTGATCTATGTTTGATGTTTGGTTTTAATTTGGTTTTACTAGCCTAGAAAGACTGATCTTTATATCTCCTTTGTTATATATTTGATCAATGTGGAGAGTTTTTGTTGTTGTTTGGTTTGGTCTTAGAACAGAATTAGGGAAGAAACAAGCAAGGGACAAAAAAGGCCTCAATTTTATTACAGGAAAAAGTATCCTGGGCTATATCAGTAGATAAGTGGATAAAAAAGCTGTGGTACATTTACACAAGGAATACTTTGCAGCTGTAAGAAAGAGATCTCTTACCCTTTGGGACGACATGGAGAGACCTAGAGAGTATTGTGCTAAGTGAAATAAGCCAGTCAGAAAAAGATAAGTACCACATGATCTCACTTATTTGTGGAACATAATGAACAAAATAAGCTGTCAACCAAGAGATCCAGAGTCATGGAAGTAGGGAACAGATTGACAAACCTCAGAGGGATGAGGGGTGGGAAGAGATGAACCAAAGAAAAGTATGCATCTGTGCATAACCAATCAATATGGACACTAGGCTGGGGAAGACAGACAGGGGGTGGGAGCAGGAAGGAGGGGGTCAATGGGGAAAAATGGGGGACATCTGTAATACTTTCAACAATAAAAAAATAAAAATAAAATAAAGACTCCTAACAAACAAACAAACAAACAAAATATATATATATATCTCCTTGGCTAACATTACTCTAAATTACTAGTCTACCAGTTCATGAACTCAACCGGAAAAGAAACACTATCTTTAAAGCACAGTAACCTTTCTATTTATAATATCCCTTTCTCAGTTAGCTGCCAATCTTATAACCAGTAGCAGGGCTTTTTTTTTTTTTTTTTCCCAGCCTGTCTCTAGTAGAATAAGAGTATAAGTCAGGAGTTCTTCTTCTTGATATGTAGGATGGGGATACAGGCTTGGCATTATACCATTCTCAAACAACACTGAAGGTAGGGGAGAGCATGCAGTCCTCTGACCTTGAGTTTTGACTTTCTATTTTGCAAGAGGTGAAGACTTCTATGTGTCTTATAGTAAGTATTCCTTTGTTGAAAAAAAAAAAAAAAAGCCACCAAAAGGGCTGTTTAATTGTGTGAACATAAGCCATAGATCACCAAAGTAGATGGTTGAAATTAAAGAAGCTAAACTGCTAAGATAAGGCAGAGTTGAGCTCTGCGGATTACATGTCCTTATGAAAGATGTTTCTTTTTCTAGGTATGGACTCAGGCTTCATTCATTCATTCAATCAACAAATAAGTATTGAGCCATTGTGCCTGACATCATTCTAGGTGTTGGAGATATGACAGTAACCAAAACCAAACCCCTGCTCTAATGGATCTTATATCCTAGTTGGAGGTAAAAGACAATAAACAAACAAGTAAAAACGTAGTATACCAGACACAGATATCTGCCGTGGAAAAGAATAATGCAAAGTAAAGGACCAGAGAGTTCTGGAGTGCAGGGGATCCTTGTTTCTTTAGGTAGAAAAGTGAAAGACAATAAACAAAGCAGGCGTTGTGCCTATAAACTCTGAACAAGTGCTCGATCACAGGAAATGAAGCTATTTTCATGCATGACTTTTATTTTTATTTTTTTATCCTCACCCGAGGACATTTTTCCTTTTTTGTTCTGGTAGAGTGGGAGGGAGAGACAGGAACAGAGAGAGAGAGAAAGAGAGAGAGAGAGAGAGAGAGAGAGAGAGAGAGAGAAACATCTATGCGAAAGGGACACATCAAGTGGCTGCCACCCGCACGACCAACCAGGGCCGGGGACAAACTGCAACCGAGGTACGCGCCCTTAGCGGGAACCGAACCTGGGCCTCTCAGGACCGCAGGTTGACGCTCTAACCGCTGAGCCAAACTGGCCAGGGCCATGCATGACTTTTAGAACATGGGCTTCAGAATTGGGTAAAAAAAAGTTGAGGAAATGGCTTTTCTCACTATGTTGTAGTACTTTGAAGATGTAGATTACATTTTGGGGACTCTGTCCATGATACCATCATGAATACTAGTGTAGTCCCCATTAGTGTGTGTGGAATAAAACTACCAGTGGCTGTGCAAGTGCAGCTGTCATTGCCTTGCTGGCCTTGGGATAGCACCGCATAGCAAAAGGGAAGTGGCAGAAACCACTTTTGATGATATTTTTAGGGCCTCTGAGAGGCACGAAGAGAGCATAAGTAGATGTGTTAGTAAAAGTGAGAACTACACAATTTTGTATGAATTTCTACAATAAAATATCAGACTTCTTCTAGATATGACAGGTGAAAAGTAGCCTAGAAGTTAGCATAAGTCAGTATTGAGGAATGCTAAATTTCTAAAAATTCTTTTAAAGAGGAAGGTATGTCTGTCTGTGTCAGACATACCACAGTCCATATCCTACCCAGATACTTGGACATACTTTTCTCTAAATTAAACTGATACTCTGGAAGAAGCAATTTGTCAAGCAAAATTGCTCCATGGTACCAGAAATTATGAATGTTTTCAGATGGTGTAGCATTATTAATACCTGATGAAGATTCTAGCAACTTTTGGGGGGCAGAAAATATATGAAGAGGATGGAGGGTGGATGAGGCCCTGCACCAGGGCTCTGAATGCCTATGTATGTGGCCAACTACCCCAAAATACTTAGACTTGAATTAGTCAGAGTGGTGCAGAATAAATGACTGAACGTGCACTGAAAGGGAAAATAGCTTCTGCAGGTATTGACACAAGAGAAGCTTTTGCAGGGGGCAATGCAGAACGGGAAGCTAGAGGGAACACCAGCAAAACAGGTTCATTGAAACGACAGATTATTCTCAGTGGAAAATAAGATTGCATAAGAGTTTGGAACGTTCCCTGGAATTCTTGTTCTGAGCAAAGTTAATATGGAAGAGAAAGAAACAAGGGTGGAGAGTGTCCTTTAGGACTCCTACAAGTAGTTTGAGGACACAGGGCAAGCAACTAGAAGACCAGTTTATGACTAAAGTGAGGGTGTGTGTGTATGGCTTAACTCCTGGCCACGTCTGTGAGACACTAGAGTCTCTCAAGAGTGTGGACAGTGCACCCCTTCTTCAGTCAGAGGCTCATAAGGGTTCAGAGTCCTTGCAAACGACCATACCCATTTCTCTTTATATGTGTGAAGGAAATGAGCAAAGAAGGTTGGCAAACCTTCATGAGAGGCAAACCACCCTCTCATACTGAGAAAATGTAGTCTAATATGTAAACCCAGAGCAATGAGTATTCTTTGCCTCTCAATATTTCTTACCCTCCAGGACAGACCCTCTGTCATTGACAGCTGGGGCTCCTGACACCTGTGCAGATCAGGGGAATTGGACAGAGGCAAAGGAATTGAAACAAGGACAAGGAGTTTCTTCCTACAGAAGAGAAAAAGAATACACTCAAGAAGTGAAGGGAGGGAGAAGTGAAAAACAAGGGCCCGGCTTGAGAGAAAGCTTGGAGGTGTTTAGGGAGAAAGAAGACAGAATGGCAGACTGCTATACCATAATATGTAAGATGAATAGAGAAGCTTAAGAAGAGAAGTTTAAGATGTTTTTCTCTATGCCAGGAATGTAAACTCCCATAGAATTTTCCAAGACTATAATAATAATCTAAATTGCTTTTAAATTCTTTTTGGCTATTGGCCGTGTTTCTTTTGAATGTGATATCATGCTGAGATGAGCCTCAAGGCAACTCAGCTTCATAAAAGATGAATTTGGGGAGTATTGTCTGGGATTGCAGACCTCAGATACAGTATTCTAGATCTAAATGAGTCAAGCCAACATCTTCATCATGATTGTTGCATTTATAGCACAAAAAGTACACAAACTATATAAAATCAAGTCTGCAGGTAAAGTAGACACCAGACAGAGGAGAATGGCAGAGACTACTAAGAATCTTAATTTTAGTGAGAATGTGATATTTGGAACTAGGTGTACCTGATGGAGACTTATGTCTATGCAACATGGAGTCTCTTTCCCTCCTTGGCCTATGAGGCTGGAATAAAAAAAAAAAAAAAAATAGAACAGCTAGGTGATTCCTAGAGGGTAGGAAAAGAGGCTAAAAGTAAAAGAGGAGTGTGTAGGGGTTGTTTTTTCTTGCTATATGGCATACTTGGTATGTGTAGATACTCTAGCGACATGGCCAAAGTACCTTTTTGCTTGGGAATGGACCCATTCAATAAACCCTAGGGCACTGGTGTCCAGAGGACCCAACCCTGTAACCCAGCAAGCTTACTGAGGTTCTGATTCATTCTAATGTGTTCTGCATCTGTCTCCCTTATTTTTTGAGATGAGGTCCTTCTCCTATTCTCCCTTGTCTCATCATCACCTAGAATTCCTAAAATAATCTGGTTGTGAATCTGACGCACCAATTATCTCTTCATATTTCAAGTCCTGCTACTAGTCCACACCCCCAGTTCCCACCTACCCTTGGCTCTCAAATGTCTGACCTGGAGCTTGACTGGATCGGCCACACCCCGTGATCTCTGCACCTGTTTCCCATGTTCTTTCCGGCTTCTCCAATAATTTCCCCTCCCACTAGGCTCGTATCTCTTATACTCTCAGTGGACTTCATGCTAGCACCTCTGGGCAGCATAATGCAATCTTATGCTGAAAGCCTTGACATACATGGTATCCTCAACAATAGTGGCAAAGGGCCTTGTATGATGCCATAATCTGGTTCCTACTGTTTGGGGGCTATGTTTAATGTAAGGTTAAGGCTAAGATGGGAGGCCCGACACTGAGGACAGGATCACTCTTTGTAGATAGAAGGCAGGAACTCACCTGAAGGGTAAGGGAGCTGGCAAGATGAAATCATCCATGTCAAGTGCTGGTCAAGAGATGTGAAGTAACGACCCAGGCAAAAAACCTGCAAGTCATGCCAGTCTTTTCTGTTTATAGCAGAGCTCTCCAGGGAAGAATGAACAGCAGGGTTGAATCTGCAAGCCCTGAGCATATGCTTGCTATAAATATGACCAGAAATTTATGCTGTGTAAGCTCAGCCAGTTGGCTGTGTGTGTGTGTGTGTGTGCGCGCGCGCGCGTGCACACGCATCTTGTCTCTGTTTCTAGTTTTCCTACAGTGTTGTTTTTTTTTTGTTTTTTTGTTTTTTTGTAAAGTGTTTTTGTAAAATACCAGGCCACATTGGCTTGCTTAGGGAAACCAAGAAAAAGCTTTTTTTTTTCCTTTTCCTGAGCTTTAGGAATAACCTGTGGGGCACATTGTAGAGGTAGGAGTGATATCCAAGTTAAGAGCGCCAAAAGTTTGTGGAATGAAGTAAGTAGGAATGAGCAAGCAAATAGGATTAGATCATTTGTTTTATAAAATACAATATTGTAGGGGTTTTAATTTGTTCATATAAAATCAAATTTCTAATAGCCACATAATACTTTATTACATAAGCAATGCCTTAGATGAAACATTCTGTTATTTAGGATTATTTCTATTTTAATAGCAGTAAAACAGGCATAGGCCAGATAGCTCTTTAGTGCCACAAAAGTTTCTCTGGGCCAGCCCTGTTCTTCATCACTAGAGTATACAACCAGGGAAACCCACGGTAACATTTGTTATTCTTGAAACACTAGTATACAAAACAGATACCCATCCCTAGCTCTTCCCCATCATGGAGTGATATAATTTGTGTCTCTTCCCTAGATTTATTCTTGTGGACTTCATTTTTGGTTTCTGATCACTTGGCTTCTCCAATTTACTAAGGTTATTATTAGTAAGTATGCTGCTGCCCAGATGCTGTTTGCTTTTCAATCTAAAGTCATCTATAAATAATGTTAAATACAGATTTTCTTTCCCTTCTCCCCTCCCAATCCACCTCTTGGTAGGGAAAGAAGTTGTCACAAAGGTTGAGACACTCAGTGTATGTCTTTACCTGGCACTGGGTCTGTCCACGGGGATTTATCTTCATACACAGCACCCCCCCCCACCCACACACACACACCCAACCCTTCCACACACTGTCAACAGTTCTCCCTTCCACCTATTAGCTGATGTAGAAAGTTATTTAGAGTTAGTTTTAACATTATAAATTGTCCAGTCCAATCCCCTAACAAACCAGGGAAATGATTTATTCAAGGTCTCTGAATTAAGTGGCAGAAACAAAATTGAATTCAGGTCTCTTAAATCCACTGTGTAGGCTGGAGTGTTGTGGATGAGGGAAGGGTCATAGTGATTCTTGTTATTCACTCAACAAATGTATTGAGCATTTACTTACTACATACCAGGCACTATTTTGGGTGTTAGGGATTCCGTGATGGTGACAGAGGGCGCGGAAGAGACACAATTCTCTTCCTTACAGAGATTTCATTCTCAAAATGTAAGTACTTTGTCTCACCATACTGGAAAAATTCCCAGTGCCCTGGGTAGGAGTATTTGGATCTCATATGGAAGGGAATCCCATCCTTTCTCTGTTCCTGTGCTATCTACGGCAAGAGGGCTGATTTACTGCAGAAACTCGAGAGGCGGAAACCTCCGGGGTGCCCTCCCCTGCTTCTGCACCTGGGCCGGGCGGGGCGGGCTCCAGTGTGCCCGCCACGCTCCAGCTCAAGTCTGGGGTTATTGGTATCCGTTTCTCTACCCTCTCTGCTTTCCTACCAACAGCTGGAGGAAGAGAAGCAAGACTTGGCTCTAGTGCCATCCTCTAAGGATTGCGGGCCGGTTAAAATCCTGTTAAGGCAGTGGTGCTGTGTCTAGCACCCCGACTCGGAGAGGGAGGGACGACCTCTCCCGGACCTAGGGGTTTATGCAGCAAACTGCTCTCTCATGCTTTCCTAATAAATATTGCAGTCAAATGCTCTTTCCAGTCCCAGCTGAGGCTACTGCAGCGTCCCCTCCCCTCCCCTCCCGCCCCACCCGCGAGCTCAGACACCAGAGACCCGCTGCAGCTTCCCAGCCATTCTCCCTTTTCTTCTCCACTTCCTGCTTGCCATGGAGACACACGTCATTTACGTGCATGCGTCGCCTTGGAAACAGGGGAGCATCCGTGGTGCGGTGGAGAGACCCGCCCCTGGCGCTCCAACCACACTGGCGGGCGCTGCCCGTTTATAGCGGAGGGGAGTCCCGAGCCCGACCCGCTGCTGGCCTTGGCCTCGACCGGGGCTCCTCGGCAAACGCTTCTGTGACCCAGGGAATCGGCGAGCATTTGCTGCTCCCGGCGCCAAGAGGGCGGCGCAGACACGAGCGCAATTCAAGAGGCGAGGCAGTGCAGGGCGCTTTCGCCCCGGGGTGAGCGGGACAGACGCCGGCCTCGGGACTCTCTCGGCTCCTGTCCTGCAGGCTCTTCCGGGCCTCCCCGGATCCTGCCACGCCCTCCGCCCGGATTCATCTCCTCACGTCGGCTCCCCGCCCCTCTCGGAAGCCTCCTCTTACCTCGGCTCCTCCCGGTCCCTCCCGGGACCTCTCCCTACCCCCTACCCCCTCCCCCATTCCAGGGGCCGGGCTGGACCGGACCCAGAGTGGCCACCACCCGCTTCTGCCATTCAATGGAGGACGGTCTGCTGGAGATCATGACCAAGGACGGCTGCGACATGCCGGCACCTCTGGAGGTGTCCACCGTGCCGGCCGTTGGGGACGTGATCTCCAGCGAGTACAACGGCGGCATGAAGGAGCTAATGGAGCACCTGAAGGCCCAGCTGCAGGCCCTGTTTGAGGACGTGAGGGCCATGCGGGGGGCTCTGGACGAGCAGGCCTCGCACATCCAGGTGCTCTCAGACGACGTGTGCGCCAACCAGCGGGCCATTGTCTCCATGTGCCAGATTATGACCACTGCGCCCCGCCAGGGCGGCCTGGGCGTGGTCGGCGGCAAGGGGAGCTTCCCCGGCGCCCCCCAAGAGCCCGAGACCCCTTCATCTGGGATCGAGGACAGCGGTTTGCTGGGTCGCGATCCTGAGGACCAGGAGGACGACGATGAAGGAGAGAAAGAAATGCCCCATTCCTCCACACCCACTAGTCCCTGTGAGCGCTCCGAGAGCCCCTGTGCTGGTCTCCTTGGGGGAGACGGGCCACTTGTGGAGTCCCTCGATCTCCCCGACATTACCCTGCTGCAGCTGGAGGGCGACGCCTCCCTGTGAGGGGACTCCGAGGGGCACTACTTTCCCGAGCTGGCTTTGGGTTTCCAAGTGCATGACGCGAGTGGACTGAACGAGCGCGGTGCAGCACGCTTCACTCCAACCGCGGCTCGTGTGGGTCAGGCAGACAGAGACTCCTTGAGGAAGGCTTTATAGGGTGAAGGACTTTGGGAGCATCAAGAATTCTTTCTGCCTAACCAAGCAAGACGTAGCAAACTGCAGAAAGGTGAGGTTCCGGGAGAGGAAGCGCCCATCTCTGGACTCCCATCCATCCCCTACCCTGTCCTCCCGCCCCCACCCCAGCCAACAGGATAACCCCTGAATTGTGTAAATAAAATCTGCTTTTTCTATTCTGAAAAAGGACTTATCTAGGACTATGGCAAATAGTCTCTAACGATTTACGTAGAAATTAAAGAATTGGGGTATTCTGTTCTGGCAACAGAAAAATTCCCCTTCTGCTGAAATCCAAGATATTCAGCGCTCTGCAGAAGCCTCTCCCCTCACAGATCTTTGCGGCTGCTGATTGGTAAAGGAAGCTTGAGGAGGGAACTGCAGCCCTAGGAATCTAGGAGAATGGGGTTCCCAGGGCCCCTGGGCTGGGAGGAGCTCGCTGTGAATGTGCATGAAGACAAAATAGCTCAACCTCTAGGATTTTGCATGCAGAGCGGATCCTGCCTTGTCGCTGACTACATCTGGAATTGCTTTTTCCACTCGCTGGGATTCATAGAACAAAGAGCCCAGTTCACAGGCAGAGACTCTGAGGTGCTCAGCAACAGCCCAGATTTAGGGGACGTTTGAGGGACTCTTGGGGGCCACAGTCAAAAACTGTCTCTCTCCTGGCTACACCTGCTTAACTTCAGTCCCTTTTCCTATCAATATGTCCCTGCCCGCTGCCTCTCGGCCTTGCCTCCATAATGTCTTGTGTGTGTTTTGTGTGTCTACTTGTGCAATAGTGTGTGAGCCCTGAGGGGCAGGGCTTGTGGCTCTGGTGTTAGGTTCAAGGGGCTGCAGACCTGGGCTATCATGGCACTTTCCCCTCTCCTTCCCTCTTTTCCCCCCAACCAGGGCATGGAGCATGTGGCTGTCCTGAGGTTCTTAACTGGTGTGCCTCCCTCCCATCTCCTCAAGTGGTGACTTTGTGTGCCCTTCCTCCTCTGTGTATTCCTTCTCAATGCTTTTCTTGGTGTTAACCTTAATAAAGAGGCATCATCTCCCCTCCTTGCTGACTGGTATTAGGGGGCCGTCAGGGTTGGGTGTAGTGGGAACTGCAGAGACCATGCTTTCCCTCCTCTCTCCTTGCTTCCAGTTCCAAGGAGTTGACTATACCTGCCTTAGTCAGGACAGGCATTGCCCACTCTACTTGCTTTCCTTTCCATCTTGGACCTTGACCTCCAGCTGGATTGGAAAAGGACAGGGTATGTGTTGAGACTCACAACTAACAAGGGTGTTAGTAGCCAGAACTCCAGATGTGCAAGAAACTTATTTTCAGCGAAGCACCTGGCCCCTGGGTCATGGGATGGCAATACACCTGTTTCATGTGAGGGGTAGAAAGGGGGTATTGTTTGGGAGAGATTGCTGGGGATCTCTGTGAGCAGAGTGACACATCACAAAGGAAATGGCAATAACTGCCTCAGGCCTCTAGTGGAGAATGCCTTACCCTAGGGAGTTCAGACTGACATCAGCTCTAGTCAGCTCCCTTGGGCATTGGAGACTTCCCAAGGCTGTCCCAAATAAAATTTAGAAGAATGAGCTGGGATGGGGTGTGTGTGTGTGTGTGTGTGTGTGTGTTCTTGCTGCTGGTTGCTGTGGAGAGGTGGAGAGAGTACTGGAACCATAGATCTGGGCCTGAATCTCAGTTCCAACACTGAAT